CTCGTTCTGAGGTTTAGGCACACCTACAATACACCTCATGACCTACATTCGCTGTGAACGATTTCACATCTCCATTTCAGATCTTACAAGAGGTGTGGAAGTGGAGCAATACAAACTTTAGCACTAAAGAAGCGCTGAGGTTTTTTTTCAGAAGGTTCTGGATAGTAGGTAATGAAAGTGGAAGAATAGAGAAACTATTTAGTGAAATGTCTTTCACATGTGGTAAGATGACTGTGTTATTAAAAGGAAAGTGAAAGCCAGGTTTCATACAAAGACACAAACAGCAGAGGTAGGAGGCTGTTTTCAGAATTAATGAGATGTAACTCATCTTTGATTTATTTGTTCAGAGAACCTTTTGGGTATTTCTCATCTGTTTTGCCCATTTATATTAGGTCTTTATGTGAAGTACTTCTGGACTTCAGGGTAAGACCAACGTCTCAGTATGGAACACGTATGAACTTCTTCTTTCAGCATTGCAGGTTCATTCCACAGAGCATCAGTCAGAAACGTGATGAAGCATTGATTATTGCTGCACTTTTCAAGCTAGTCAAATGGCAAGAAACATCTACATTTGCCACATGTGGCACCTTCATATACGCAGCAACTTGACTTTTCAGCTCTTCCAAGCAACTGCAGCAATCTGTTTTATGCTAAGTCTGTGTTCCTGTGGGTAGGTTCATTCCCATTTTCTGGCACTAGCTGCAGGCTAAGATGGTTTGTGCAGATAAATGTTGCCTCTCAGCTGAGGCAAATCAACTCCCAACACCCTGGTAACTTCTGGCACCTGAGCCCAAGCTTCTCATGCAAAGCTTGTGTCTGGCTCATGGCTAAGCAAGAGGTAGCGTGTGCTCTGCATCCTGAGGACAGCGCAGGACATTTTGGGCAGCTCTTTGAGTAAAGAAAACTGTGAAGGGCAGGCTCTCTGTGAGGGCAGGACTGTAGCTGTGGTAAAAGATCTGGGGCCTTCTCTCCATACTGTGGCCGTGTATTTTCCCCCCCACCTTTCTCAAACGCAGGCCACAGTTACTCATCTCTATGTCTGCAAGCAGGCAGGAGTGTGTGCTCTGCTTTTCATGCATTTTTCTGGTGTGCTGTCCAAAATGTCATGTTTGACACTGAAAGTGATGTGGAGTATAATGTTTCCAGAAAAGCTCGTGTGGTCCCACACAACAGCTTTACAATTCTTCTCCTAAGGGACAGAAACGGAGTTTCTAAGCCCTTTTTTTTTTCAGATGGCCTCCTGCTTGCAAGGACCAAGCTGGAACTTGGTTCCAACTTGTTCTTAGCAGAGTGTTTTGGGGTTTTTTTTACAGCATTTTTTTTTTTTACAGCTTTGTTGGTTGTGGTTTGTTTTTTTTTTTTTTTTTTTTTTACAGCATTTACAGCAATGTAAATGACCCACGGGAAAGTTATCAGACGGTAATGTTTCTAGTACAAAAGAAAAGAGTGACACAGATCTTGTCATATCATTGAGCAGGAACTTACAGACTTTTTTTCAGTGCCATTGAGCTATTGCTTTGTTTGGAAATTTTAATTGCGTATCCTGCCTGAATCCGTGGCTCCTAGAAAACTCATGAGGAGGGAAAAAGTGTATTTCAAACTGTTCATGTTTCCATATGTAGTTCAGTCTCCATAGCTGTTAATGACCCTCTTTCATATCTGAAAACATTTCATTAATAGTGATTTTATTTTTTATAAACCTGTTGTTTGAAACCCTCATACCACAGGTCTGGTTCGCAGACATGGTTGTACGCAGGCATAGTTTGTGTCACCAAGCTTCTGTCACTAATCGTAGGTTGTTACAAGAGGAAAGAGTTGATATAACTGTATACATCAAACCAGTTTGGAGAAGGAAAATGTTAATCCACAGTTGATTGCTTTCAATACCATGATCTGAAATAAGGTACACCATGGGATAAGACAGAAAAATGGTCCTTTCAGAGGAATTCCCATATGTTGTGAGCGTGGGTCCCTTTTCCAGACCCACGGTGTCCTTGTTTCTGCTGTGTAGCACGGACCAACAGGTGTGTGCAAGGTTGGCTGTTTCAAACTCTCACAGTTTAGAAAACTGCTATTATTTAGCAATCAACTATGGAACAATCTCAGGGCAGACAGATACTTCACGATGTGATCTAGTTAGGCAAGAAGCTGCATTAAATTTCTTCTTTCTTTTGTGATACCAGTTAGCAGCCACTTCACGATGGGCTCCGTTTCTCGACCAGTTACTGAGTTTTGCCTTGATCTCTACAATAAGCTCAACAGAAATGCAGAGGACACAAACATCGTCTTCTCTCCAATGAGCATCTCTGTTGCCCTGGCCGTGGTCCATTTAGGTGCAAAAAACAACACTGCTGCTCAGATAGAAGAAGTAAGTATTAATGAAACATGCTGAGATGCTTCCACATTGCTTGCTGTTCCCATAATGGAAATATCAGGCATCCAAGCACTACATGTGTGCAAGGGTCTCATAGGAAACAAACAGAAGCACAGGTGCTATCTTCACAGTTGTTCTTGGTGTGCTATGATTCTTGCCATCTGCTTGTGTGAGTCGCACCATGTCCCCCTGCAGACTCAGGAGCATGGAGGAAGAGCTAAACGGGAGGAGACAATACACCACAGCGGGACACTCTGGCTTTCCCCCAGCCTGCTGCCAGAATGTCAGAATTTGTTTCAAAATTACAGGCAGGTGCTTCCTCTTGTGGTTGCTAGGAGAATCCTGAAAGTGGGAGTCTGGGTGCATAGTGGAGAGAGTTGCAGAAACCTGAAGTGATTGCACCTGGGTGCAAGCATTAGCTCAATTATCACTTACGACATTCAACAGTCAAAATGTCTCACCTGCAGAGCTCTCAGCAACCCAAGTGGGCAAGGAGGAGGTTAAGAAAACCCCCTCTCTGATTGCTGTGCCTTTACTCCCCACAGTGCAAGTTCTGCTTTCTACAATCTTTTTTCTCTTTTCTTGTTTGTGTCCATGAGTGGTAAAAGACCAGTAATCCTAAGGCAGAGGTTCTTGTCAGTAGCTGGCTCTGTACTGGTAGATCTTCATCCATCATACCCTAGCACTGCCATGTGCACAGTCTGACTGCTGGGTCACCCACAGCCAAGGCAGGCGTGCCCTCCTCATGAGGTTTCCAGGCTGTGGTGGGTTGGCCTTGGCTGGTGGCTGCCAGGTGGCACCCTGCCACTCTCTCACTCCCCCTCATCAACAAGGACAGGGAGAGAAAATCAGATGAAAATACTTGTGTGTCAAGATAAGGACAGGGACATCACATGCCAATTACTGTCATGGGAAAGCAGGCTGAACTCATTTTGGAGCCGGCCGGAAGCAGTTCTGCTCGACGTGACAGCAGCCCCCAATCTCTTCGCACAGAGGCCACCACTGCAGCTCCTTGGCTACCATAACCTTGCCACATAAACCCAATGCACAGGGGCTCTTGCTTATTTTAAGAAAGCAATGAGAATCCAATATCCTCAATAAAAAAGATTACATCTATGTATGATGCAACATTATTATAATGGAGAAACTGCTGGAAATTTTTCAGTGAGATATTTGCACATTAGAAACAAGGACTGGTTTCCATTAAGAGTTCCGTGGTTTTGATATGTTTCCTAAGATGATGAAAAGATTAAGAAATTGTAAAAAGCCAGTTTTGGTGTTTTCTTTTTTATTTCTTTGCCTGAGGAAACTTTTTGTTTTGAAATTTAAGGTAACTGTAGCAATAAAAATACAAATCAGAGGTAAATATTTTGAGGTAGTGGAGAGTAACATTTTGGGGGATTAAGTGCAAGATCTTCTTGGTTTGCAAATATAGAAATCTGAATTTGAACACGAATATATGAAAAATTTCAAGTCTGTCATTTCAGCCTGACTGAAACCAAGAAAATATCTTTCATAAATCTACATCATTTATCCAGGACAGCATAGCAAATCTTTCAAACAAGGAAAATGCTTTATCCCAGTTACAATTGCCATAATTTGGCATCTTCAACTGCAGGTTCTCCATGTCAGGAAAGCTGCAGGAAGAATGATCCTTGGATCTGATCTTGAGAGCGCAGCCCCAGAAATGGAGGCAGAACGAAGCCAGCCTTCCCTCTCACAGGTGTGTCTTTAGGTGGGGAGCACTGAAGCCTTTGCTTCACTGCACGGTAGGTTACTGGGTATAAAGCACCAGAGCTGCCACTGGAGGGAGTCAAGATCACAGGCACAGAGGCTGCCTAATCCACCGGGAAACACCTAATACAAGGTGTTATTTTATTAAGGGTCAAGTCTTCCATGAAGTCAATACCAAAGCCTATCTCATCTGAAGGAGGATCAGGCTACAAAGCTTAGACTGGCTGTATTTAAAAATCAGTATAGCAGGAGTTAGCCCTATAATGTAATCTAAATAGGATGCAAATAACAACCAAAGCTATATAAAGGTATCGTTTTAATTGTTGTGTTTGTAATATTCCCAGTGTAACAAGGATGGCAACCTTAACCATAATGCGTTCCAGGCACTGCTTTTACAACTACAAAACCTTGGCGAAAGATATGTTTTAAACCTGGCCAACAATCTCTTTATACAACAAGGATTTGAACTGCAGCAGGTAAGTTACCTGTATCTGCTAACTGCTGGGTCCTTGACCTCAATCTTGCCTGTGAGCCTCACTGTTGTCCCACATGCATGTATTCTGGAGCACCTGATGTGCTTCTTGGAGCTGTATCTCTTGGGGCTGCTAGGAAAGAGACAAGCATCAGCTTTCAATTCTTTTGTTTAAAAGAAACCACACTGTGGATATCAGTGGCCATAGAGCAAAAATAAAGCAAGAGTCTGTTCGCTTTCAGCATATGTCCACACTCAGCTGAGAAGATGACTCTTTCTTCTGGATTTCTTTTTACTTATTTACTTTTTTTGCCTATGCAACAGAATAATTATCTCTTCTTCAAAGAGTCTCTGCATAAACTTCAGATAGTTTCCAAAATGAAATTTTGCCTTGTGGAGTCAACAGGTCCCTCACCATTTATAAAACCATTCTGAACCGTTGATTTCTTTCAAAATGGAGTAAGTGCTTAGCAGATTTGACCAATCTATAATCTTTATTTTGCTTTACAGCGATTTCTAATGTGCACTAAGGAACTGTATGGAGCAATGCTGCAAACAGTGGACTTTCATGGTGCTGTTGAAGCCGCTAGAATAAAAATTAACACTTGGGTTGAAAGTGAGACACAAGGTAAAACAAAGCAAAACCATAGCCATACTATCACTGTCTTCTTGCACTGCTTCAAGAAAAGAAATTCCAGGGTATGAAAAGCAAAGTCTTGTTCACATTTCTGGGTGTTCCATCTATTGCTGTTTAAAGACAGTTTGTCTTCCCATACACTCTTGAAATATTACAGTAAGTTATCAGCTAAATTATTTCTGAATTAAAGGTGTGTTTGTTGTCAAATACTTCTTATTCTCACCCTTATGCCTGCCATGATAATTGCAGTAGTACCTATAAGGCTTGACCAGACAAATTGCTTCTGTGAACAGCCACAAATGCAGGTACAGGAGAGCTGTGAGCATCGTGGTGGGACAGGGAACACCTCAGGGTGGGGTGGGGGAGGACGACTGAAGACCTGGTTATATGTAGAGCAATGCCCACAAAGATGAGAGATGTGACCACCAGTGAGACTCACTATCACAAATGACAATTGACCAGCTCTTGCCCTTAATGGGCTAGCAGGGGCAGTTGGCTCGTGCTGATTAGACTAAATATGATATATGCCATTTTCCTTTAGTTTTGCCAGAGCTGCAGTAGCAGTAGGACGAAATTTTCTAAATTTTCTGGCTGAACATTAACCAAAACTTACTGGGGTACAGGCAAATAGATTTGAAGGCTTCTGTAATTTCTCAATTGCCCATCTCCTGGCCAATCCTGTCCTTCTACTGGCCGAGTGGCTTGTGACTGGTGTGGGAAAGAGCTGTTAACCCCAGTTGGCTCCCAGTAAGAGGGCTGAAGGTTCAGGAGCCACCTTGCACAGGTTTAGGAGCCATCGTTGCTCTGGGTGCTCGTACGAAACCTGTGGACCTGCTAACCCCTACTTCAGCCTTTGTGTAGAATGTCAAAACTCCACAGCTGGTTAACTGCTGCCCTTAGTACAAAGGAAAAGATGTCCTCATTTAAACCGAAATATGTGATTAATGGTCCTGCCTCCTTCCTCGTGGTTAATGTCACCTGGCATGTATGTATGGTCACTGACACTGACAGCTGGCTAATTTGGTGACACCCTCCCACTCCCCTCTGTCCTCCCTGGCTGGTAGTAGTGCAGAGGAATCTACCATTTGTTTGCCTATATTGTCCCTGGCCTTTGAATAAACCAAGAACTGGAATTCTAAGTTTCTCTAAAACTAAGTTCACAGACAAGTAATTGAGTCTCAGTCCAGACTGTTAATGAAAACTAACAAATACTTGTGTATTCCAAAATTTCCTTTAGGTAAAATCAAGGAACTCTTTGCTCCTGGTGTAATCAATGCACATGCATTGCTGGTGCTGGTGAATGTAATCTACTTCAAAGCATCCTGGGAATACAAGTTTGAGGAACAAAAAACAGCACAGAGAGATTTTAAACTGAACCAGGTACATCTGCACTCTGTAAATCTTAACATTATTTACCTTAGATATTGTGAGCGTTGCAGCAAGCATAACATAGAAGCACAACGTCCAGGGCTCAGCTGCCCATGAGCAAGGTGTGGGTGTGTTGGGAAGTTAACCTGCCTCTCCTGTTGGGTAGAGGTGGCAGGAGAGTTTTTCACAGAAAAGCATGATCTTTACTGAAAAAATATGCAAGACTCAGAAGTTGCAACTACTCAGAGTTTTGCTTTGGTGACTGGCAAAATGCAAGTGTTAGCCCTGATTAGCACTTTTGAACACAGCAGTCATTACAGACATCATGGACGGAAGCAAATCTGAACATCCCATTTCACACAGGCTCCAAGGGTCATCCTAGTGTTTATACGTTCAATACAGTTTAACATTAGCTATGCATTTGAGAGTTTAAAACAACCAAAGAAACTAGGCCAGATAGTAACAAACTACAAAAATACAGTTGCAGTTTGAAAAAGGAGAAAATCTTATAGGGTATTTTGGTTTATTTACAGTATTTGCAACGTTTGGAAGTTTATTTTAAATATATTTTAATTTTTAGCCCTTTTTTCTGCCACAGGGATATCACCAAACCCTTCATTGTTTAACTAAAGAATTGTCAATATGGTTGCAAAGTTAGTTCTTTAACATGCACATTCCTCCAAGTATTGTGTGTGCCCTTTAAGTCTAACAGATATTATCAAAAATATTATCAAATTTTCATTTAATTCAGTTTTGTATTCTTTTCACATGTTGTGCCAATATTCTATTAATTCTCATCCATAACAAAAGAAAAAAAACCAAACAGATTTAGGTCTGATTTTAAGTTGCAGAGCTTTTTTTGGGAAAAAGTCTCTTTTCAGTGTTCCTCATACACTAAAGGAAAAGGTCAGAAAAACATATATTTCTAGTTACCGTGTTGCATTCCATTGTTAACACACTGGTAAGAAATGTCATATTCGGTACTTATGTTTGTGACTTTAAATATATCTTTGAATATGGATATTGACAATTGTCTATAGCTGAGATCACTTGGTGCACTGCTGCAGTAGGAGAAACCATGAGATAGGGAGAAGCTGTATAGATTTTTCTTCATATGCTAATAAATACTAGCAGGATTTTTGCTGAAAATGTCATCTACCAAAAGTCTTCTTTCACTGCTTTAGAAGTTAGCTAAGAAGACACCTAACTGTAAAAGGAAACTTGAGACTTTATAAAGTTTTCAAGCAACCCCATCACAAAAAGGCAAGATAACAAGACCTAGAAGAGGATGCCTGAGAAAGGCTATGCTTTCACTCTTAACCTATTTATTGCTTCCTGTCTAAACAATCGGTCAGATAAATGACAGCCTGCTTCTTGCAGTGCTATTTCTTCTTTATCCTGGTCCAAGTTAGGACCTGTAAATCCAACCAGCATTGGCCTATTTGGAAGTGTAACACTATCAAGAAACTTGACTATCTGGTCAGTTCCTGATGTTTTGTTTGCAGATGCAACGAAATAAAAAAAATGTTTAGCCTAACAACAATTACTGCTGAAAACCTGACTGCCGATACTACACCTATAATCAGTTTAAATATTAAGAGCTGTATTGCTTAAGTGTCTGTATAATTTTCTTTTAAATAGAATGAGAAAAAACCTGTGCAGATGATGCATCAGAAAGGCACATTTAAATTAGGCTGCATTGAGGAGATGGGTGCTCAGGTCCTTGAACTCCCTTACGCTGAGAAGTCACTGAGCATGATCATCCTCCTGCCAGGTGACATGGATGATGGATCTACCAGTGGGCTAGAGCAGGTGAGGCAGTATATATCATGGACTATGGCTGAAAGTCTGAATTAAGGCTGGGTAAAGATCTAAACTTTTCAAAGCTGCCACCTACTTTAAGCTCTTTTCCCCCTCATCTTCTAGATTGAAAGCACAATGACCTATGAAAATTTAATGCTGTGGACCTCTTCAGAGAACATGTTTGAGACAACAGTGGAGGTACACCTGCCCCGATTCAAGCTTGAAGACACCTTTAACCTCAACGATGTATTACAAGAGATGGGGATGACTGACATTTTCACTGCATCAAAAGCCGATCTCTCTGCAATGTCATTTGCAAAATCACTGGTGCTGTCAAATATTGTCCATAAGACGTATGTGGAAGTCAATGAGGAAGGCACCGTAGCAGCAGCTGGTACAGGAGCTGTCATTGTGAGGAGGTCTCTTCCTCTCACAGAGGTGTTTATGGCTGACCACCCTTTCTTATTCTTCATTAGACACAATCCTACCAATACCATTCTTTTCTTTGGCAAACTCTGCTCACCTTAAATCAGGGCCATTTTGTAACACTGTGGGAAACATTTGGATGAAAATCAGAAATTGTGTTTTTTTCCCAATGCATTCTTAATCCTTTGACAGCTAGTTTGTCTTTCAAAATAATCACTGTAACCAGTTTAGCTTCAAATCCATCAATTCAGTACTCCGCTGCTAGGCTTCTTGAATTGCAATATTGATCTGAATCCAAAACAGAGGTAAATTTTGCCTTAACCTCACTGGATAGGAGTAACATTTTGTTTCCTTGATGCCCACATATGCTCCTGTATTCCTGCATTCATATGCATTCCTGAATACTAATGATGGTGACGGTAGAGCTGAGGTTGGAGGTGACCTCTGGAGGTCATCTGGTCCACTTCCCCTGCTCAAGCAGGGCCACCTACAGCCAGTTGCCCAGGACCATGGTCCAGATGGCTTTTGGATATCTCCAAGGACGGATACTCCACCACCTCTTTGCACACCCCCCCCAAGTTCCCAAATGTCTTCAAAGAGAATTTTGTATGCACGATGTCTGCAGGAACAGGATACAAACCCACACATTTCTAAAGATGGTTAATTATTTGCGTAATAAAGAAGGCTGCTTTTTATATGGGGATAAATCAAGTGATTTCAGTTTGAAAAAAATAGGAAGAAAACGGTCTAAAGCACCAATTGAAGTTACTGACATGGAAAACCATAGCCATGAACTTCCAAGAAATGTGATTTTTTTCCTTGCATGCTGCTGTCTGGTGAATTCTAACAATCTGAAATGCAAATCTGGAAGACAGGGCTCTCTCCATGCTCTAAGAAGTGAAAAAAGGTTTTGTAAAGGGCAGCATAAATCACGGAAATCACAGTTAAATATAACCTGGGAAGGTTTTTAGTCTGTGGGAGAAAAATAAAATTTGCCACTGACTGACAGCGAGACATTACTGCTAATTTGCAGCTTTAACGTAAGTAACTTCTTCCTCAGAGGGATTCTGCATGAGATTTAACAAATTAACGTTTGCAATGTGCTTTATGACCCATGAAAAGGAAAATATACATTAGCCATTTGCCATGTAATTGGGTATAAAGCACCCTGATATTCTGCATTCATGATTACCATAGCTCATGCACCGTAAATTACCTGGGACCATGTGGACCAGAAAGTCTAGGAAATAAGAGTGAATGATAACTAAGCAAGAACAGACAGAAGGGGACAATAAAAGAGTCAATTAAACAAACGACTCTTGACTATCTAATCTGAAGGTGCAGTATAGCTGTAGCAGTAGTCCTCCAGGCTGTGTCCATGTCTCCATTTTGGAGTCTGGCAGTCCAGTTTGCCTATTAGACAATGTTTTTTTTACCTAAAGCTGTTATCATACAGTGTTTACTTTCCCCAGGGAAGTTCTGAGCACTGCAACCTCAAAAAACAACGTTTCTGAAAATGGAGGGACAGGGATTCCTGTGATGAAGTGGCAAATGCCACAGGGGAAAAAAAACCTTCCCTTTAGCCCCGTCTTTTCTCAGAAATGAGTATACAGTCCCCGACCCCCAGCATATCCCTTTTCATTACCCCTGAGTTAAAACAGGAGTTTCTGATGACACTGTGGGTTAGCAGGTGGATGGAGCTGCACTGGCTACCAGTGAAGAATGCAGGAGCTTAATTAGCTGAAAGTGAAAGAAATAGAGCAGGAGGTTTGCAAGCAGAGTCTCTGTTTAGCACCAGCTAAGCTGGGCCGCTCCTGTGCTGCCAGAGCACGAGCACCATGAAGACATGTGGTGAGTCCTGCGTGGCATAGGAGATGTGTGTGGGACTAGGTGAATTTTAAAGGTCCCTTCTGACACAAACCCCATTCTCTGGTTCTGCATCTTGTGCATCGGTTAGCTGGATTTGGCTAATTCCACGGAGCTCTGATCAGTTACGGGTTTACAGCTGGTCAAACTGGTTTATAATAAACACGTTGTATCACAAAATACCTGAGTCGGTAAAAAACAAAAGATTTATTAGGTATTGTGTCTTAGACCTGAAACATACCTGCACATTTTAAAATCTCAGATTCCCCTGACTTTAATACCCTGTGTTATACTTACTGAACTACTTAGGATCTGCCTTGTTTTCCTACTCCTGCTTGGAACTGGAAGCGGAAGAAATTCGACTGTGATTGGAATAATGGTTATTGGCAAAATATACAGATTTTAAGCTACAAAGTGAAGAAATAGTACTCTTCAGAGCTCATGGTCTGAGACTGAATAGGGAGACATGATCAGTGTTGAAAGTTTCACTTTCACAGTATCACTTTTAATGTTTGTGTTCAGTCTAAGCTAACTTTGCATGTGGCTTCCTTCTGGTGGGAGGCAAGCACAATTTACACAGCAAGCCTCTGCTACAACTCTTGAAACTTGTCATAGTGCATTCAGCTTGCACAGCGTTCAGGTTTCTTCTCCAAGTTGCAGGGCCACAGCTCTTGAGGGATTCATTAGCAGCTGTGCATGCTCTGTCACATGGTGCTCATCAACTCAGTGAATTAAGTACTCACTTCATCCCTGGTATCAAGTGAGTAAAGGGCCACAATTTGGCCCCTAAATCACAAAATCAGTCAGTACCTAATGAGCAGTAAAGTGTAATGCCTACCCCATACACATCTATTTGTGTTTTTCACTTGTCTTCAAAGAGAGTTAAACTTTACTTTAGAAACCAATTCAATGTGTATTTCAAATCCAATAAAGACGGTAAACTTAAACTTCCATAGGAGTCAAGACCCACCCACCAGCAGAAAGCCAAAACACTAATTTGTCTCTTAGGTAAACCTTTACCCTGAAGGCTAAAAAATAAACCAGAAAAGGTTCAACTGGTACTCTTCAAGAGAGGTCACTTTGCAGGATTTATTTGACCTCTTATTTCATAAGTTATCCTGTGAACTTCTCAGAATTTGTCTCTCAGTCATTTTTGGTTTTGGCCTTGATGTTATGGATTGCTAGCGACTAACATATTTTAGCTAGAAACTTAGATAATATAGTAATTCCTTCTGATCTTAAGACTGAACACAGCAGTATCGTTAGTAAAAATAACAACAGTAATTAAATGGTGTTTAGAAACAATCCTGTCACTGATTTCTTACACATATTCTTAGCTCCCCGACCCTACCAAAAAAAATGCCTGACTCATTGTAAAACTTCTAGTTTCTAGTATTTATCAACTTTCCATCATCTTTCTCATGGACCATCTGTCCCACACTTCCAACACATGTATGGAAGTGCCAGCTCACTTTCTTGGATGGTTTCAGAAAATCATCCAGAAGTAATACTTTAAGTTCACTTCTTTATTTAACTTCCACGTTATACCATTTTTTATTCCATTAGCCCAGTAGAGTCAACTTAGCAGGGTAAATGTATAGTAGCATCTATCTATATTCAGATAATACCTGGACTTGTTCCCCTTGAACAGAGCAGCAAGCGAGGAAATAGTCAATCTGACTGAAGGATGGCTGGACGGAAGTGCTACTAGTTAGCATCTTCTGGCTAAGACCTGCACAAGGTATTATAAACAGATTATCATGACTGGAACAAGTAGCCCCACACAGAGCTCTGACCTATAGGTTGGCATTTATTTCTTGGACTCCTGTTTTTCCCTGTGGTCAAGTATCTCCCTGATTACCATCATGACAGCCACTTCTCTTCCCTGTTTTGCAGCAATACTTAGACACCACAAGGGCCTTGTACCATGCAGAGCTGGAAGCAGTGGACTTCATTAATGCTGCTGAAGAGTCCAGGGGGAAGGTGAATTCTTGGGTGGAAAAGCAAACCAGTGGTAAGGACAAGGCTTGCGGTTGGCTGCCTGGGGAGTGTGCATCAGGACCATGTGAGAAGTCAATGTCAATGGTGTCTGGGTTTCTTCCTTCTCGTGAGTGTAGCAACATTCAGAAATGCCATAGAGTGATTCATTTTGCTCGTGGCTACTGTAAAAGCAGCTCAGGGCATAAGAAGGCCCTGAGCTCCTGGGAGCTTTGACTCTGCTAAAGTTGTGGATCCATTCTTGCTGTGAACAGACAATTCTTCCAAGTAAGGAAGTAATGGGATCATCCTCAGTCAATGGTAAAAATTAAAGCATAATTCACCTTTGTTTCTTGTTTTAAAGGGAAAATTAAAGATCTATTCCCTCCTGGCTCTATTGATTGCACAATGGTGCTAGCTCTGGTCAATGCTGGCAGGATCAGAGTTTTGGAGTCACCCCACAAGGATTTGATGGTGTTCCAGCTCCTGTTTACCTTCTGTGGCTTGGTGGCAAAGTTTACTTTGTACAAGATGGAAGTACAGCAGCAGCAGAAGTTGTGTGTGCTGTTGTACCACAAAGACAATGTTCCACTGTCCCACAAATAGATAGTTGCATGGAAAGCACTGTGTCATGATTTCCCAGACACCCTTAATGTCCCTTCATCAGCATTTTGTAGTTAGATACCCGTCTTCGTCTGGAAGAGGGTGAGACACTTCTGTATGTGAACAGATTTCACATGAGTGTCTCGGGTCAAATACCAAAGCTATTGGACATCATGTTCTGTCAAGGCATTTTTCTTTGCATCCAACAAGCATGCAAGACCAAACCAACAGGCACTACTTTGAGTATTCTGCGTGAAATAATGGTTCATAACAGCATGTTGTTTTAAAGTCAGCTTTTTTCTAATATCTTATTCTGTGTAATAAAAGTATCTTGTTTTATGAAGCTTGTGGGTAAGAGATACTGGTCACAGGTTCTACATTAGGTTATACATAAATGTTTACAATCCGCTGGGATAAAAGTATCTGGTAGTCACAAGGTGATGCATCTGGGTTACAGGCAGGCCAGAAGTGAAGAGGCTGTCAATTTTTATCCAGGATAATATGAGAACAACAACTTTATCAATGGTAAAAATCAGTGCAACTGAGAGAACGCAGAAATGGGGAGAGATATAGAGAACTTTATTTCCAGGTCAGTTCAGTAGCCCTGGGTTACTCCAGGCATGTAGATCGGGAATTTGAATTGCAGAATGATGAAA